TGGGACCAGCCGAAGAATTAGTGAAATTGGACAATTTTTGGACGAGACAGTGCAGGTCATGCCTGTAGTGGTAGCGCGACGTGATGTCGTTGGCACGTCCGAGAGATGGCGAGTCCATGTCTGCGTGAACGTGGCTGGTTCCACCTCTGAGTACATCTCTCGGTGGTGGGACCAGTCGAAGAATGACTGGAATTGGTCCTGTATTCATCGTGATAGAGTATGTCATGCCTGTGATACTAGTGCTGCAGTAGTATGCATGATACATGCATTGTCATAATAATCATGCTCCGGATCAGCACCACGACTTTCATGTTAGTCGGTCGATAAAAGCACGCACAATTACCCCAGCAAGCGTGAAAACCCCAAGCACGCGTTAACCCCCCAAAAATTGTTCAAAATACGCGACACGAGTAAATACCCCAAAAAGCACGCGTGAAAACCCTACACCCGTAGTAGTACAGTACTACTACTTCTGTCCAAACATGATTGCAACGGACATGAAAAAACCTATCTTTCCCACCTTCGATTGGCCTGCAAATTAGTGGAAGTGAAAGAGCATAATCTGGGCATTCTCGTCAAATCAGCTGGTGAAATGTACTACTACGTGTGTAAATAAAGCAGATTCGACTCAAATCCGTAGGTGTAACGCACTCGACGAATTAGGGCCTAATCTGCTGTGCTGTAATTCATTCATTACCTGCATGGCTTGCATGGTCGTGCACGTCCTGTCGCCCATTTCCGAGTGCAAACTACCCTCACCCTCAAAATTTGCATTTCACCGGATGATCGGATTGGCTAGTTCAGCTTTTGTATGGAGTTTACACCTGCCTAATCCAATTTTGAGTGGATTTAATTTCTTCCACAAAGACAAGTATATTCAACCAATCAGAACTCCAGCGTGATTAAGACAAACCACGCGAATTTTGGGAGTTTATAGCGTATTCACAGTATTCGCTATTTGTACATGAAACACACTGTCGGTCCAAAAATTTGATCGATGGATGATGTAGTGAAAGGATTTTAATGCATAGTTGAGCCAATCTGTACGCGGATATTTCACGTTTTTATAATTATAGCGGTTATTATAATTATTGCGGCACCACGACCTTGACGGATCCGTCGGCCTGGCCAAAGAACGCCTTGGACGCTAACTGCACAAACAAACCCACTTCGACCACCCCTGGGAGCATTTTCAGGGTCTTTTCCAGGCTGGCGGGGTCTTGGAGGATCCCAAACTATTAATAAAAGTACATACATAAATATAAAAAATACTTTTAAAGAACACCGACAATAATAATATACACGCATTACATGCGTGTCGAGGATGAGGTTGCCGTTGTCAGTCACCACCGGCCCCGCCTTGGCTTTGGCCATGCGAAGCACGGGCGCGCCATGCAGTTCCTTGAGCTTGCGTATGAGCGGCACGTACGCGAGCGGCACCACTTCGATGGGTACGCCCTGGGTCCACTGCTCGCCCAGATACGTCGACTGCTTGCGGTAGTCGGCGACGATGACAAACTTCTTGGCGTTGAAGATGACAATCTTCTCCTGGAGGTGGCACCCCCCGCCGCCCTTGATGCAGTTGAGCGCCGTGTCCACTTCATCAGCGCCGTCGATCGCGATGTCGATCACAGGATGCGAGTCGAAGTTGGTCAAGTTCAACTTGTGCTGCGAGATCAGCTGCGACGCTTGGAACGACGACGGGATGCTTGAGATGCGAAGGCCTTCGTTGGCCACGCGCTCGCCAAGCCTCTCGGCTGCATACACGACCGTCGACCCTAGAATCACATGTGGTGTCAGCATGGTGGGTTGTCGACGACAGGCTATACCGCTGCCGATGCCGACAACGTCGCCGTCTTTGACGAATTCGTCCACGGCAGCGCGGGCAGCCTAATGCAGGGAGGGGAGTAAGTGAACGTGTGGAGGAGGACTGAGCGGATGGACGCACCAGGCGCTTGGCACTTTCGATGGCGGACATGAGAATGGCAGGGACGACTGGCAAACTTGAGATGCGCTTCTTGACGGTTGAGAGCATTTTCGATCGTGGGACGTATCACTTTTCAGCCAATCAAAGAGGGTTATTTCATAAGCCAATCAACAGCGTGTATTCGTTTGACCAATGGTATCACAGGATGTTGGATTTGTCGTGTTAGGTAGCGCGGCGGAAGTGTCTCGCCTGCACAGCGTCTTCAGCACAAGCAGGTGAAGATTCAGCTGCTTTGTATGCACCTCAGATCTTCGCCATGTCCGTGGGTCAGCAAGGCAAGATGACCGAGATGGTGCCTGGTTGTTGTCCAGCGGAACGCGGCGATGGCTGTCCAGGCGTCCTTCTACGACAAATTCAGTCGTACTCCCCGCGTCCAGTTCCAGGCATCAACAACGACTATATACTGTACAACAAACATTTTGGGTTCCATCACCTGCTTCCAAGAAGTGGCGCGGTGCTTTGGACTTGACTCTTCGACCGGTGCAACATCGAATTAGTGTGTGACTGAAATTAGTGTGAGACTGGATTTCGACCTTTACATAATTTACAAGCCAGGAGCACAAAAGTCCAACTGTTGGGTAAAAGGACAATACTGTACAGTAACCAAGTATCACGGTGCTCATGATGTTTGTCGATTCAGCTAGTAGTACTACATCTATGGAGCTAGTAGTCCTAATACATATCAAATGTCGTCATCGTAAGCGTCATCGTCGTCCCCGAGCAGAGGCGCCAACGGGCCTTGCCGGGGCGAGTCGACCGACAAGTCCAATGTCACTGCAACGGGCACTAAGTGGTCACTATGGTCACTACTGGACAAGAAGCACGACACGGCCGTGGCCACCGCATACAGCGCCAAAGACAACTCAAACGGCGCGCCTTTCCCTTGTCCTGCACTGTACAAGGCGGAATACGCCAGCGGACCAATCGCAGACGCGAGGGCGCGCACGGCGTACAGGGCGCCCTGTACCCGGCCTTGTTCCTGATTTACAATGAGATCAATATTGTCGATTTGATACAAATTGTTGGGGAGGGGGGGCAATCGAATCGATCCACAATCGATCTGATTGGTTGAATTTCATTGAGAGGGTTTTGATTGGCTAATAATTTTGAGCTCATCTGAGGTAGCCAATCAAATCGATTTAAATTCCAACGAGAAACCACCACACAATGAAATTTCACTCGAAAGCACAATATGACCGTACGTTCTAGTTTGGACGGGGTATATTGTCGATTCATTATAATTGGCGATATATGCTCAATCAAAGGAACAGAAGAACCAAATCGCAGACAATCGATATATCGACCAATCAAAACACACGAATCAAGTAGCCAATCAAATGATCCACCACGATTTCAACATGGAATTCGTGTGGGATGACTGAAATTAGTGTGATATTGGACGATCTTAGCATCCAAAAGCCAAAGAATCGATCGATTTGGCAAACAATCAGCACTAAAGTCATCCAAATTTGGGGTAAAAGGACAATAGTATATATACTTCTAGAGTATAACTATTAAAGAGAGGTAGTATTGATCAACCCACCTGCTCTGACACGTGGGTCGACTTGAGCGACGAGATGGCGGCAAAGCCAATGTCCCCCAAGCCCGAGCAGACGGCGACGACCAGTACGACCAACTTGGAGTGCGTGGCCAGCACGACGAGGTAGAGCCCGCTCATGACGGCATACGATAGCATGGAGATGGCCACCACACCCTTCTCCCGCACCAACCGGATGAGCAGAGGCAGCAATATACCCTGAGATAGCATGGAAGATATACCCACAGCTAGCAGGAACGACGCGTTCTCGTCCTTGTTAAAGCCCAGGTCGGTCTAGAATGGTTGGTTCATACAAGCAGCTTCAAATATAGTTTATAATAATATGGAATCGATGCAGTAGTCAATCATCGCTCGATGCATGAACACACAAATATATACTAATCGTTGTATAGTATAGTGTGTACAAGCTTAAATAGGATCAACTAGATTCAAATGGTATTTGGCGAAATGACTCTCAAGTCCAACTTTGGGTGAAATATGCACAATACTATTGACCGTTTGGATGGGAGACATAAAAACGTGAATATGGGGATTCCACGAACATAATCGACGAAAGGAAATATGTACTACTATTAATATATATATATTTATATATAAATGTAACATTTGATTAGTATTATTATTATTGATTCCAAGAAAAAATAATAGTGCACATTCAAATGAAATAGATAAAACGGTACGAAGAATTCAAATACGGATTAGAAACTCGGAGAAAAGAGGAGACATGGTGCCATCAAATATATATATATATATATATTTGTCAATAAAAGATAGAAATATAAGTTACATTGAAAAAGAATAGTCGAAACGACATGAGGCCGGCGCCGGCAAACGTCGAGAGTGCGATGACGACGCTGAGGCGGCGGAAGAGACTCGTTTTGAGTAGGATCGTCATGGCGCGGAAGGGGTTGATGCCGGTGTAGGATGGCGCGCGGCAGGACATGGACAGGGTTTCGTTGAAGGCCAAAACGCACCAGAGGACCCGCAAGATGTAAAAGACGGCGGAAAGGACGAGTATGGTGAACTACATGTCGGTGATGACGAAGGGAGGGGGTACTTATAGATGTCGTACGGTGTTGAGGTATTCGGTGAGGGCGATGGCGAGGGAGAAGAAGACGGACTGGATGGCGAAGAGACCGCCGTACGCTAGACAGGACGAGTGAGTCGCGAGAGAGAGATGGAGGTATGTACCGGTGGTTCGGTTGTGGGGGGAGATGGTGTCGGCGACAGACGCGGCGACGACGGATCCAGTCAGGAACGAGTTGTACACGAACTTGACGATAAAGTAGATGTGAATGTCGTGATTGTAGATGCAAAACAGCATGATCGTGAAGGGGTAGACCACGTGCAGCACTTGTGCTGCCACTAGGAATGGCTAGAAGGGACCGTGACGAGGGAGCAACCACGACAAGTGTACCTTGCGACCGTAGATGTCGGAGCCTTGGCCCACGAGCGGCGTGATGATGAAGCTAATTAGAGACCCAAGGGACGATGTGGCGCTGGACCATATGTTTGCTTCCTTGGACCCTTGCACGCACGCGGTCACGTTGCTGAACTTGACGCAGTCGATGGGAACCCCGTTGTTGTGTTCCCTCGCAAAGTACTACTGCCAAAGGTCATCACCATGCAGAGGACACGATGGATTACCTCGGTGGTGGCGATGGGCAGCACGGGCACGAGGAGTCCATATGAGAGAGACTCGAGGATCGTCAGGAACAGCAGCGGGAAGATCGCCCACAGCACCACATGGATCGGCGCCAGCGATACCTCCTTGGTCGGCTTCATATTGATTGTTTCATCTTGGGACAAAAGAACCTCTCAAAGTCAGTACTATATGTTCTTCGTTGACTTCATATATGCATTATTAGAGTTTCCTCATGGGTCATTCATTTTCAAACTCACCACGCCGCGCGCACTCAAGTGGATGAACCGACGGGCAGGTACTGTATGTAGGTTGCCGGTACGTCCGCCCTGCGCTTGACATGCCGTCGTCCATCAAGGAATGTGTGATCTAACGATGCGCGTGCAATACCCGTAACCAAGGAACGCCGTCATACTGCATGTGAATCATGGCGACACTCGTTTGCTCATAGAGAAGGATCGCACGAGTTACTTAGTGCATTTACAGGACTTTCTTGGACGGGAGGGCGTTGGAGATGGACTGCGCGTACGAGATGAGTCGCTTGACGCTGGTGAGGTACTTTCTCTGCAGTTCGTTGTTCATGACGTGTGCCTGTTTGTTGGAATTGATCTTCTCTCGCCCCGTACGTTCGTGGATGCCGACCATGGTCACCCCAATGGGCCACGCGGCGTTCCCGATCGCCATCTTGATGTACGCGTCGTTCGCCTGTACGAACTCGCCGCCCTCGCAGAACCGCACGATGTCCAGCAGATTCCTCAGAATATCCTCGGGGACTTCGTGGTGCTTGCAGAGACGGAACAGCGGCCGGATGTAGTCCTTGCACTGCTTCATGGTTCGCGTGGCGATCTTGCCCTGCGCCGTGCGCTTCACCGTCTCAGGGCGCTGCCCCAGCGCCAGCTCCCACTGACTCAGCATCGTTTTGAAGTATCTGTACACAAGCATCTCATCGCTTCGCTCGTCCTTGTTCTCCTCCGTCTCCACTTCCTTATCGTCCTTGTCCGCCTGAATCTCCATCTCCCCGCCTTCCGTCGCATGGATGAGAGATTCCAGCCGATTCGCGCGATCTTGCGCAGTCTCCCCGAATAGCGTCACCGGGTGGCCTAAGTTCCGCAGGCGCTTCTTAATGTCGGACAAACTCAGGTTCAATTGGCCTGTCGCATCTCCCTGCTGTGTTGTGGAGGTGTCCGACCCCTTGACCTCCGCAGAACTCGAAGACGACGCATTCGATTTCGTTTGTTCGTTGCTTGACGCGGTGGACGCCGATGTGGTACTGTTGGCCTCAATGTGAAGTGCTTTTGCCGCGAGTTCGGCTGCGGATGCCGCGGCGGCAGCGGCAGCTTCGATACGCTCCTTCTCATCCAAGGCAGCTTCAATCTCTCCACGTCGAAGGTACTTCTTCTTCGAAGCAGGGGCATCACCGAGCGCCAGGGCTTTCGCTTCCTCCCGCTGCCTCTTCAATGCGGCCATCTGCGCTTGGATCTGCTCCATGGTGCTGTGCGTTGGTAAATGCCACAAATCCGGAAACGTGGTGTCCCGTTTCCGGATACCGGATAATAAATTATCCGGATTAATTTTGCTTTTAACGCACATTGAAGCAGCAGAGACCAACCAACCAAAGCGCGATGGCGGAAGAACTGAGCAAGACGGAGCGTCGCCGCGCGGCCAAGGCCAAGAAGAAGGCAACGATCAACATGGAGAAACAGAAGAGACAGGACAAGCGCGAGGAGATGAAGCAGCGTCGCCGCGACCAGAAGATGCAGCCGAAGGGAGGGTTCAACGAGGACGGGTGTTGGCTTTGTGGCGCGTCGGACCATCGCAAGCAGGACTGCACGGAGGTAGAACTGTAGGAATATGTGCCTTGGTCTAACATGTGATGCTTGCAGGGGAATTCGAACAAGAGCTGTTTCCATTGCCGGAAGAAGGGCCACGACATCAATTCGTGTCCGCAGCGCAAAGGCGAAGCCAACGACTTGTGCTTCAACTGCGGCGAAAGCGGTCATAGTCTGTGGAAGTGCCCCAAGCCCAAAGTGGGCGACGGCACTTCGTTCGCACAATGCTTTGTCTGTCAAGGCACGGGCCACTTGAGCTCCAAGTGTCCGCTGTCCGAGAAAGGCATCTACCCCAAGGGCGGCAGTTGCAAGGTGTGCCAGAGTAAAATGCATTTGGCCAAGGACTGCCCCCACAAAGATGGACCCCAGAACACGAAGAAGGTCTTTGCCGACGACGATGTTGACGATAGCATGACCGGCACGGCCTCGCTCGAATATGGCGGGGATGCCTTGGACGACATAGATATCATCGAAGACAATGATGACAATGAAATCAAAGCACCACCCAAGTCGACTCAGAGGAAGAAGGTGGTCAAGTTTTAACCAATAGAAACCCTGTATTATCACAATCCACGACATTTTTATCCGGATAACAGCCATTGTAATTTTGAGTAGATTGTAAGCAATTCCACGGTGACCAGTTATTCGTGACATCATATTGTCAAGTCGATTCGAAGTTGGACTTGGGGTGCTCAATCGATTGAGCAGCACCAAATCGGCAGACAATGGATTGGCCAATCAAAACGAAGAACCGGAATCTGTGGCCAATCAAATCTACTCTTCGACGAATTCAACATCGAATTAGTTGACTGAAACTACGAGTTTTACGTACAAAAGTTAGTGCAAAGAATCGATCGATAGGTTTGGTGAATCAGCAAAAAAGTCGAAATTCTTGGGTAAAAGATCGTTTGCATTAGCAAATGTAACGTTATGGGCGATCCACTATGTAACTGCCGCCTTGAAACCGACAGTTACATGTCGATGTGGCGAATCTTGGTGGCGGCCGTGGCGTCGGCTCAGGCCACCGTGGCGCCAGGTCACTTTCTGTTCATGCCCACTGCGTACAGTCAAACGTCCGTGTGGGGCTCCGTGTCCGTCTTGGGTGCGCCCCGTCCCGTTGTTATTATTCGCTGACGACATTCCATCTAGTCCAGCGGGGGTTGGGCGCCGACGGGACCGCGTCCGTCGCCGTGTCCTCTCGAGACGGCAGTGCGTTGCAGTCCATCCATTACATCCCCATCGTGAACCAGACACTGGGGTGGAGTGATGGGGACTCCAACCCCGTCGAAGTGCAAGTGCGGTTTGCAGCAACCCCAACCAACCAAGATGTGACCTTCTTCCTCGACTTGCACGACGCCACCACTTCGATATACATGCCACAAGCCACCGCCGAGATCACCATCCGCGCCACCAATGGTCCTCCTTCATATATTAATACCCAACTAACATATGGTTGCTACGGCAGTCTACCCCGGGGACATAACGTTTTCGGCCAACTCTACATCGTTCACGATTCCTCCGACGTGGAACCCCCAAACACCGTACCCCCTGAGCATCCCCGTGCACCGACTCCACGGCGCGTTCGGCCACGTGCAAGTGCCGTACGATGTAGTAGTGACTGCCACGTCCACTGCTACTGCGGGCGAAGACTTCAATTTTGTCAAGGGGCTGCCGTTTGCCCGGTTCATGTCGTGGTCGGATAGTGACCACGGCCCCAAGTACATTGACTTGCTGTGGCTCAACCAGGCCCCGTACCGCCAAGACCTGACGTTCACACTACAGCTGTTTGCACCCACTGGACAAGCCCTACTGGGCACGATTTCTACCGTGGACATCACCGTCCAAGGCAACCACTTGGGTATGATAGAACTACTCATGAGAACAGCTCCAAACTTATATCGTTTTATTATAGGTGTGCCGGCAGGGGTGTTGCAGCTAAATGCGCCGTGCTTTCCAAGCTGTGCAGCCGACGTGTACTCGGTGCAAGCCGGCTCGGCTGTGCGCATCTACGTGGCACGACAGGAGGGGACTGTGGGAGCGATCGCCGTGAGCTATTTGTGCGTGTCGTTGATCCCCGGCCAGCCCCAAACCGGCACGTTGACTTGGGCAGATGGAGACGCTGCAGAAAAGAGCTTTGTGCTCGCAACAGCTGCGACTAGCCCCACGGGGACTCCGCACCTAGTGGTGCTGCAGGCTCCTACGAATGGGGCCACGCTGAGCACTACTGCAGCCACGACTATTGTGACGGTGTTACCGCTGGAACCTTACGCAGGTGCGACTTCCAAGGGATGAGAATGGCTCACTAGAAGTCATACAGGGGGGGTCGTGGACTTTGTGTCGATCACAACAGAAGAGCGACTTCTTCGATTGTCGCCAGTCACAAGCGATCTGCTGCAACTCCTGCCCGAAGTGGACTACTGGGATTCCCGCATCGGTTTGGCCAAACCGGTGCAGGTCACCGCGCCAGGCTCGTTCTCCGTGCTCGTACAAACTTCGTTCTTTACCATATATTCGAACGAACAAGTTGCACCTAGGTGCAGCGGTCTCGGGGCAGTGTAGGCGCGGCCACCGTGTATGTACAAACCATCGACGGCACAGCCATCGGAGGCATCGATTTCGTCGCTCAAACAAGTGCATTGCAGTGGCAAGACGGAGATACACGGCCAGTTTCGGTCACCGTGACCATCTTGGCGCCGCCGTACACTGCCTTAAATCCATCCCGCGCATTTTCATTGGTGCTCACGACTCCTACGAACACGCGACTGGGAGCATTTGCTCAACTGCCCGTAAGATTCGACTGGTTTAATAAGGTATGTTGTGATGTTGTTGGTATGTAGCTGGTCATTCGAGGAGCGATGCAAACCCCCCGCCTTGTCTCGAGCGTGCTGAACATGTCGGCCAAGACGCTAACATTGACATTCTCGCACCCGATTGCTTCTGCTGCCGTGACCCTTTTATCGATTCTGAACCCCCAAACCAACACCAAAATCACGTTAACGAGTGACTCACTGGTGGTTCCAGTGTCGCCGACGACCGTGGTAGGTCCAACTTGGCCAATCCTTTTCGACTAAACCTCCTCGATGGGTAGGTGCAAATCCAAGTAGGAGCCAACGACTTTGTCCGGTTGCAACAGGCCCCCACCGTGGCCACAACAGCCGCCACCGCGGCGCTGTCGTTCGAGCCAGGGTTTGCAAACTATGACAACTTGCAGTGTAAATCCACTCGAATCCAAGGCTGCTGGCAGCCGTTGATGCTGCCTCAATCACCGATCCTGGTACACTAAAGTAGGATTCGCAAGTTATATATTTCCACGTAGGTGACAACGTTCGTGGCGGATGTGGTCGGTCCCAGCTTGAGTCAGTTTACATATGACCAGCAATACATCCAGCTGCGCTTTTCTAAAGTGATGGACCGGTCGACGTTTCAGTTCATGCACCTGTGTGACTCGCTCGTAGCCACCAACTGCATCGGGCTGTCGGCCCCCAGTCGACTTATTCCCCGTGGTTCGTACAAACACAGTCAACTTCAACTCTCTGACGTGGCAGCAGGAGAAGCGACCACGACGACGTTGCCGTTCCCAGTGGACGAGACGCTGTGGATCGTGTGGGTGTCGCCGTCGACCGTGGCCCAACTGAACGCCGCGGGCATCGGGCTCACCCGCGGCACGTCCTTCGTCTCGCTACCTCCTGGCCTTCGAGACATTCAGGGAAATGCTTTCCAAGGACCCACCGTCCAACAAGCTGCCACTGCTGGTAGGTACTGTAGTCCATTTTTAGTACTGAATTTTGTATGGGGCAGTCAGTCATCACACTAATTCGCGTCATTGTGCTTTACTACATGCTGATTGGCTAAATCCTACGAAAACAATTTGGGGGTAGATTGCAGCGCGTGTCCGGCTGGCTCGTATGGCTCGCGAACGTGCACCGACACGGCGGACCGGGTGTGCTCGCCATGCACGGTATGTGGAACTGGTTTCTTTGCGGCCACTGCCTGCTCTGCCACCCGCGACACCGCGTGTCTTCGTAAGATCTCGACTGGGGGAACCTACTATGTGTAGTGACTAAGACATATAGGTTGCCGGCCGTGCCATTTTGGTCTGTACGCGTCCACCCACTGCTCGCCGACGCAGAATCGAGTGTGCAGTGCATGTACGAAATGCACGAATGACCAATACGAGTTCTCCCCGTGCACCACCGAAGCGGACCGCGTGTGTCTGACCTGCGACTCATGTGCGTTGACATGGCAGCAAGAACAAGTGTGCAAGAAGAGCGTGGCGTTTGAGCGGCGCAAGCGATCCCCCTACGGGTGCGTCCTCGTTTCCCATTGTCGTCGTGTGAGTTGATGCCGCCCATCGACGGTAGATGTCCCGCAGTGATGGCGTACCCCACCGAGGAAGCGAGGTTGCAGGCCGCCAAGTCCAACGCGTGTGGTGCAGGCAGGTGCTCGTGCACAGGAACTGGCGTCGGAAATGCCAACCCCAATGGCTTCTCATACCCCACAGACCCGCGATGCACCGGACCGTCAAATTATGGCATCATCCTGTAACGATTCAGTTTTGAGTTGACCAATAGGTAGTTTTAAACATTTCGACCAATCAAATTCGGGCTCGCCTGATTTTAAAGCCAATCAGAACCTTGTTATTCACAACAATTGTTGCCTGGTGCACACACATCCAAAGGAAATGGCAGCGCAACTCCGTGTGCCAATACAGCTCCGGCATGCCGCCACGCGGACGTTCTCGTCCAGGCCAGTTGCACGCGCGTGGTCTTCTCCGAAGCAACCCACGGTCTCGACCACTGTGAAGCCAGTACCAGTACCTCCTGGCCGAAAGACGTGGGACAAAGAGTTGAAAGCGTGGGTGCCGTACGTTGACAAGTCGGCGACAACCAACAACGCTGCCTCGTCGACGCCGCCGTTTCGCAAGGGTATCCCTACAAAGTCCAGTCCTCGCCAGCCGTGGTTGAAGCCTTCCGCCGTGATCGACCCGCCACGGTTCAAGCTGTTTGGCAAAGGCGGCGAGATCCAGGTCGACTCGAACGCCGCCGCCGGGCGCGGCCATCCTCCCCCAAAGCAGCAACAACAACAACAGAAGAAGAGCTTCAAGTTTGAAAAGAGCCTCTTCTCCAAGGACTACTTTCCCGACGTATCGTGGAACTCGTCCGCTGCATCGACTACCGCCGACCACAAATCCCATCGCCAAAGGTACCAGCAGCGCAACAACGCCACGGATCGCCATCCCAAGAACAAGTTCCGCGATCGAAAGCGCTCGAACGTCACGTCATCATCCTTGCCCCAGCGAGAGATGAAGGTGGAGATTCCAGATACAATCACCGTCGAGGACTTGGCCGACCGCATGTGCATCAAATCGCATCTACTTTTGCGCACATTGCGGACACTGGGTGAACGAGACCTGAATGAAACGTCTGGTACGTCGATTGTCTTGTCCAGAACGTGTTTTGTATGGATTTGTATTGTCAGAGCATTCGAATCCACTTGATCTCCTTTCAACTTGTGCAAACTATACAAAGAGTAGTATATATATACTAATTTATATATATACTACTATATATATACAAAGAGTAGTATATATATATACTGCAACTCTTTGTATAGTTTGCACAAGTCAGTCGGAGGGACTAGGCCGAATCAAGCGTATTTTGGATTGGCAGAAATTCGAGCGAAAGACGTGATTTGATTGGCTTAGATGGTTGTTTAATCCATTCGATTCTGCTGTTGTTTCTGATTCGTTGCCAAGTCTATCGATATCTTCTTTGTCGTGGCATTTGTTAAGTCACACACTAATTCGATGTTGTTGCATTGGTCGAATGGATAATTTGATTGGCTACTTGATCAGCGATCTGGGTTTTGATTGGTCGTATTTCAATTGTCTGCCGAATCGATCTGACAATATATATATATATCTGTGTGTAGAACTGTCTGCGACAGTGGCCGAACTGGCCGTGGAAGATCTAGGGATGATTCCCATTTTGGTCCAAGGGTTTGTGGACATCAAGCCCACGGACGTACCCGCCGACTGCGCGGCATTTCCCGCCCGTCCTCCCATTGTCACAGTGATGGGGCACGTCGATCATGGCAAGACGACGCTGCTGGATGCGCTGCGCAACACCACGACCACCGAACACGGCGGGATCACGCAAAAGATTGGGTCGTTTACAGTACCTCTTGACGACAAATCCATCGTGTTCTTCGATACCCCTGGTACAGTTCCCAACGTTTGGTGTGGGAAAATTCCCATTTTTGGCACGACTAGGACATGCGGCGTTTTCGACCATGCGCGCCCAAGGATGTTCCCTCACGGACATTCTCGTGGTCGTGATAGCCGCGGACGATGGGATCCAACCCCAGACGAAGGAAGTACTTCGACTTGCGATCGACCAATCGGTGCCGCTGATCGTCGCCGTGACGAAATGCGACAGGTTTCCAGGGCAAGAGGATGAAATCATCGCGCGTATAACCAAAGAGGTGCAGATGGAGGGGATTCACGACCAAGATATGCAGCTTGTGTGTGTATCTGGGAAGACGGGCCAAGGGCTGGATGACCTCAAGCAGGCGATTCTGCTGCAGGCCGACATCATGGAGCTGGCCGCGGACACGTCCAAGCCGGGCGAAGGCGTGGTCGTGGAAGGAAGCGTCGTTCGAGGGTATGGATGGCCATATGTGCGACAACGGGATGTACAAGAATTGGGAAATTTCCCTCAACATTTGACTTTTGGGCGGATTGTCTCCAAGTCTATCTCATCGGTCCAGTCTTCCTTCTTTGTATATATTGGAGTTGAAATGATCCAGTGTCACACGAATTCGATGTTAAATTGGTCATGATTTTTGATTGGCTATTTTATTTGTGTTCTGGGTTTTGATTGGTCAATATATCTGCGATTTGGTGCTGCTGCTCATTCGATTGAACTCGAATTTCGAATCGACGACTTGATAATATATATATATATATATTAATATATATACATATATATATAGATGGGGGGTCACTGTGGACGCGATGGTAACATGGGGCACGCTCCGTGTGGGTCAACTGGTGGTGTGCGGGTTGGAATTTGGCAAAATCAAGGCTCTAATTGACGAGAATGGGATATCCGTCCAATTTGCAACCCCCGGCACCCCCGTCCGGGTCGTGGGGCTCAAGGACCTGCCCAAGACAGGCCAGACGATCCTCCCGGTCGAGACGGAGGCCGCCGCCAAGGAGATCGTGGCGGAAAGAGCTCGGATTCTGGAACAGGTGGCCATCAAGGAGGCCGAGGCGGCGGCCGCGCGGCTGCGGGAAGGCGAGGCGGCGCATGTGCCCATTGGTCGGCGCGGAAAGGGGCGGCAGCTGGAGCTCCAGCGGCAGGAGCGGGCCAAAGAGGAGGAGCGGATGGATGCGCTGACACCAGAGGACGACGGATACGTGGCCAAGGTGGTTCCAGTGGTCCTGAAAGCCAACGCCCTAGGCATTATCACCGCCATCGACCATATGATTGCCGAGCTCAATGCTGTGAGTCGGGAATGTACCCTCAAGTGCATCTACGCTGGCGTGGTAAGATGGAAGAACATGATATATATTCCCCAAATGTGCATGATTTGCCAAATATCTACGTATCGATATATCGATTCATATACTGGATTGGTCGAAGAGTGAATTTGATTGGCTACTTGATTTTCGTGTTCTGGGTTTTGATTGGTCGATATATCGATTTGGTTAGTCTGCTCATTCGATTGAACATCCCCCCTACTCCAATTTCGAATCGACTTGACAATATATATATATATATATATATATATAGTGAATTTCACCCAAATTTGGACTTGAGAGTCATTTCGTCAAATAGCTTTCGAATCTATTTGATCTACTTAATCTTGTACACACTATACTATACAAAGATTAGTATAAATATTGGTTTTGCCCAATGCGGAGGGTCAAACGTTTGGATTGGCAGAAATTTGACAACATGACGTGATTTGATTGGCTGAGGCGGTCTTTAATCGTAAGACATTATTATGGGCTCCAGTTTTGAATCGATTTGACAATATATATATATATATAATATATGTGTAGGGATCTGTGACAACGTCCGACATTGACTTGGCAGCGAGTACCAACGCCACGATCTTTACCTTCAACACCCGCCAAGGGGCGCTGATTGAGAAGGACGCGCAGCGTACGTAACGGATGCAAGATGGAAGGAAGCGTGGAAAGATGACGTGGGCTATGTGAATGTAGGCAAACAAGTGCCGATCAAAGCGCACAATATCATTTACGCCCTCATGGACGAGATTGAGATGCTCGTGACGAGTCAGATGACACATACTGACAAGGAAGAGCCTATCGGAGCGGCGGAAGTGCTCGAGTTCATCCCGATCAACCTCAAGGGGCGGCGGAAGGCAAGCATCGCCGGCGTCCGCGTGACCGACGGGACACTCGTCATGGACGCCAAGTACCGCATCGTCCGAGATGGACATGTGGTCGCGGAGGACCTATCGCTCGAAAGCATGAAGCATTTCCAGGATAAGATCTCCGAGTCGGCCAAGGGCCAGGAGTGCGGCATCCAGTTTACAGACGACGACGCGGCCTTCAAGGCGGGGGACGTGGTCCAGGCGTATCGGATGGTTAAAGTGCGCCCAAAGCTGCTGAGATGAGAGAAGGGAACGAGTAGAACGAGTAGTGTTTTCATTATAGCAAACTAATCGCGTAAATCGAGCACAGCGCGAGAATCGTGGACGAGTCGTACCGCACGACGACGTGGCCGTCGGTGTCGGCGTTCCAAAAGCACGACGTGTTGGTGTGGAACCCGCCGTTCTTCTTCTGCACGATAGTCACGTTGACGAGGAACTTGAACCCTGCCGCTCCGTCCGCAAGACCCTTGAGCGAGTGTAGACAGCTGTGGGTGATCTCATGCACCCACGTCGAGGCTTCGACCGGATGGTACGTCTTGTCCTTGAGCACTTGTTCAAGGGTCTAGCACACACATACACACACATGAAGAGGAAGAGTGTCGTTGCGAGGAGGGTACCTGGAGTGCTACGCGCTTGACGTCGCCTTGGATCGTGTTGAAGTAGTAGGTCGGCTCGGCAGCCTCGTCGACAACCATCATGACTTACTTGGTGGATGATCCGACGTTCGCTTGACTTCCTCGTTTGATTGGCTAAAATTAAATAAGTTGATTGCCATTTGTTTCATTAAAAATATGGCCATCCTGTGATGCGATTGGCTAGTATTTGGATAGAGCTGTTTGATTGGTTGAAATCCAGAACATTTTCCGCTACAATTTGATGCTGGCAACTTGGACAAGAAGCTTCACATTCAAGTCGAGACGAACGAGTCGCGGAAGGCTACTACGAAGGACAGAGGCATGTGCAGTAGAGACACCGCGTTGATCCCGCCAGACACGTGGGCATTGTACCATCAACTGATACACGTGCACATGCACGCGCTAGCTAGTCACGTGCGGATCTTTCACCAACTTGTCGACACGTACGTCGCACATGTGGGCGAGCATCCCATCACCGGCGTGCGGTCTGTGGCTACATGCAGCCTTCCTAAGACAAAGCGCAGCATATTGGCTCACAGCACGCCGAGTAACCTTCCTTCCGCGTTCACCATGACACTGTTGAGCCAAGTTTGCCACAGAGGTGGATACATCGAGTCGCCGTTGTTGCTGGAATACGCCCTCAACCAACTCGAGCGGTGGCAACTCGAGGTGCGTAGTATTACTACGTATCTATGAGTAGTAGTAATAGTATGTACTAGACCGCCGAGAAGGTTCAAATCACATTTGTCGTGTACTTGACTCTCCAGCATCATGGACATCATGGTGCATCCTCCTCATCCTTCTCCCGTTTCGACCAGTATTACTGCCTCTACGAATCCTATCTGCATGTGTTCCTCAACTGGATGCGGCATGCCGCCCTCGAGAAGCTCCGGACCACCGAACTCGATGAGCTCGTCCGCGTGTTGCTGCTCCTGGTGTCGGCCTTCCCGCCGCTCCTTCACAGCCGTCGCAGGCAGACCGCCCGACTCCTCCGGCTTATCCGGAATGCTTTGCCCACAACATAACATTCATACAAAGTAGTACTAATTATGCATCGTGCTCGTCGTTCTCGGCATGCTCGCTGCGGCGGCGGTGGTCGTAGCGGTCCATGCCGTGGCGCCGCTTGAAGCTTCCTATCCACGACTCGCCCGCCTTGAACACGTCGGTGCTGAGACCCTTGGACTCGGCCTCTTCCAGCGCCTTGTCGCGGAGCATGCTGTGGGTCACAGGCACCCCGTTCGACCGCAGCTCGCAGATCCACCGCACGAGGCGGTCTTCGCTTTCGGTACCAAGAGTGCTACTCACACCATGGGGACGGGAACATCGATGGGATGCTTGAATGGGATCCGACGCACGGGCTGCGATGGACGCTCGTGTGGCAATCCACGTGTGGACGTTCTTGCGTGCGGATTCGCGCGCCAACCCGACTACGTTCGGATAGAAGTGGTCCATAGTGCTGGGCATGCCGTGCTCTGCGTGGTACTCGATCACTCGCAGCTTTTCTTCGTACGTGAGGCGCTTCCTTTGAAGCCCTACCCGCTTCTTTGCCGGGAGGCTCGCATTCGCCGGCAGTCGCGGTCGGCCTCGAACTCCGGGCATTTTACAGTTAAAGAACAAGATATGGATTATAAGAGGTTATATTCGCACTTCTGTGGAGACGAATAATTTATCACAGTTTATGACATATGGATTATAAGAGCTTAAATTCGCACTTCTGCGGAGACGAATCATTTATCACAGTTTATGATATATGGATTATAAGAGGTCAAGGTATACTACTCAGAAAAAGAATCATTTATCACAGTTTATGATATATGGATTATAAGAGGTGAATGGATACGAGTCCGTAAAGACGTATCATTTCTCACGGTATATGGTTTTATAGACGTTTTCGGGGTTTCGGGGTTTGCCGTAAAAGTCAAGTGCAATGAACCCCGAAACCCCAACAAAAGTTGCACGAAGCTGGCGATAAAGTCGACCAAAGTACAGTCTTCGTTAATGCATTAGTTGTTTGTATCAACGGGTGCATTATAGGTCAAAATCATCGTCACGTTCATCGTCATCGTCGTCGTTGTCATCGTTATCATCGTCATCGTCGTTGTCATCGTCATCGTCGTCGTCATCGTCGATATCATCAACGTACAGGTTGACGCGGGGGCACTTGTTGGCTTCAACGTATTTGGTGTAGTTGCCAGTGTTACTGTGGACGTCGTGCGAGTAGCATCCGGTCGAGTTAGACGCGGCGACGGCCACTTGGTTGGTCGCGTTGGTACCGACGCGCGAGTCGGTGTGGGACTTGGCCGTTTGGGCGATCGAGAGCTCGTACCCTTCGACTCCGACGCGGAAGTCGTCCTTGTTGCCGTGGATTTTGAGTTTCTGGCGGAGGTCGTGTTGAATCGTCACGTTTTTCGTGAAGTACTTGGGGCTTGGATCGACGATCTCAGATGGTTTGTGTCTTCTTGTTCAAACGGAATGAGCGGCGATCTGAATGGCGGGATGTCCACCTCATCGACTGATGATAGAATCACATTACGGGCCGACTTGCCGTATGTGTAGGGTTTGTACTCGAGTTTGCCGTAGAGCGGGTAGTCCTCCGTGTAGTACTTGGTGGTTTTCGTGCCGTCTTGAAACTTGACGGTGGTCGTGGTCTGGGTCGTGCTGCGCTGCTTGAACAATCGTTCGTTCCTCGAGTACTCTTGGTGGCTCACGAAGGTGAACTTTTGCTTGATGTTGTACTTGCGGATGCCTCGCGAGTTGGAGATGGTCGACTTGACATTCACTTGACGGGTGGCGGTCGTGTCGACGGTCTGGTTACGGCCGGTGCCGTTGTAAGCCACATTGGGCACGACATTACGGTCAAACACTTTACGGTCCAGTGTGGCCACCGTCTTTTCGACGTTGTGGTCCTGGTACACCAACAGATTGGCGTTGGTGGGCCAGTACGCCAAGCCGTGACCGACGGCGAAGCTCACGTTGTGCGGCTTGCCGTCCAGCACCTTGGCCACATACGGCGTCAGGTCGATGATGTACGTGGGGGCTTCGAAGCCACCCACGGACACGATGGGGCGCCACAGGGCAGGACTCATGCCGCCCGTGTAAATGAGCGGGAACGGCCACACCGCGCCGACAATCTCGTTATCCAGGAGGATCTGCACTTCACGAAAGGATCCGCCGGCACAGTCTGCCTTGAGGGCGGCCTTGAGCTCGTCGGGAGGGTTGGCGTAGTGGAACTCGTCGCATCCGTGGTGAGACGTAAACAGCTCCAGGTACAACCCATCGAGGTTCTTGGGGAAGGTCACGAGGTTGAAGTTCTTGCCGAGGGTGTTGGGCTGGACGTTGAACCAGGGATAGGTGTCGTTGGATTTGAAGATCGGAACGATCTGGTCGGGCGCGTACGGAACGCGCTGGACGACGTGCTGAGACGGGTCCTTCTTGTAGAACTCGGCCGTGATCGTCACATGAAAGCTGCTCGTGTACACGTCGTTGACCACGTTGTCAAGGGAGGCCGTGACATTGCCGTTTTTCCCAAACAGAGCTCGGTATTGGGAAATTTCCCGAAAGATTTCCCAGTGAGGGCCAATCACCTTGTTGGGCTCCTGCGTGGTCGTGCGGAGGACGGGGTGGTTGCCGATCCAGACGCCGGCGATCCGGTCAAACTGCCGACCAGGGTCCACGTTGGCCTTGTACCGGAGGTAAACGAGGGAATATTCCGGGTCGTTATAGCAGGAAGGGGGGGAAAAGTCCCCCTTGTATGGCTTGTTGTACGAGTGCGCGTACGTGTGGTTCTTGACGAGGGTGACCACACAAGGAGCAGCCGAAGTGTCGATGATCTTCGAGTCCACGGGGAAGTTGACGTCCAGCGACTGGTCGGGGCGGGGGAGCCACCCGGCAGAGTGCGCCTTGGGGTTGACTGCCACCTCCGCCTCGACCGCTTCGGGGAACTTGATGTCCTCGCTGTTGTCCGCGACTACGATCGAAGCGGCGATGGAAAGGAGAGCTACCAACGACACCATGATGTTCTAGTGCAAGTGGGGGCGAAATGCACAATGAGGTTGGTAAGCCGGAAGGAATGCACATGCGTTGGGTAGGGGGTGGGACGCGTTACATCTACCAGCTGACCAAGAACAGTCTTAACGATGGGCGTGACGTCGACCAGGAGCATTCGCCAATTCGATACCGGCATGTATCCGCTGGTGTGACAATGATAGGTGGCACTTTTTCGGCGAAATATAATTTAAAGAGGTGTACGAACTGAATTTGATTGGTAAATAAATCAATCACCCATGATGACTGGGATATCTTTGACGAGATGTTGAAAAGGGGGGACAGAACGTTAATTCCTCTTTCTCGGTTAGAACGACCAGACGTATTCTGCTCTTATTATTAGCGACCCTGCGACCCTGCGACGGAGAGGGCAACGTCTCTACAATAAATTGGAGGTCGTATCCCCATATGGACACTAACGTTGAATGCCCGTGACCGGTTGCATCTGTCAACCGCTTGACATCTTGTCGACAGCATCAGTACTGTCTCTCGTACGCTTGAGATGTGCCTTGTGAATTACTCCTTGTACTACGTAGGACTACATACTATTAGTAGTACTTACTAGTACTACTATAATAGTTCTACATAGTACTACGTAGTACAGTACATGTACCGGTAGTACGTAGTAATTTCTTCCCTCTGTTCCTGATATGGGAGTTGTGGGTGATTTCAATGGATAGTTTGTATGAGCGTTTGTTTACTTTTGTAAAACAAAACAGACGATTCATGTACTTGATTCACAGTCAATACTACGATACTACGTAGTGTACAGTACTTCGTACTTAATACTATTATAATAGGTGATTCATGTAATTCCCGCCCACCGAATGGCCAATCACAATCATGCAGGCAAATTCATTGGAAAAAATTAAGTATACACGATTTACGAAACAAACACGAAACAAAATACACCAGACTACTAGCAATCACGAAACGTTTTTGTTTCGTAAATCACTTGTATCTAATTCCTGCTATCTTGAAATTTGTATCCGATTGCTTGTATCTTAGATATATGGTGATTTACGAAACAATCACGAAACATGCATACTATTAGTAAGTACTACGTAATTTACTGTGGACAGATATCAACACGCCCCACCATAGGCAACAATAGCACAGACGCTGCTACACGAACCTCCTCCACCAGCATAGAAGTGGTGGTACAACCAGCA